TGGGATAACACAGGGGGATGACCCGGGATAAAAGCGGGGGACAGGGCGACGGCGAACCCGACGACGACGGCGGGGGGCCGTCGCGGCGGAAGGACGGAATCGACAGAAAGCCGATGCTGGCTTGGACCATTCGTGGATGGGGTTTCGCGTTAGGGGAAGCCCGGGGGAAATAGGGGGAATAAAGTATCCAATAAATCAAGAGCTTCGGATGGCGTGACTTCGCGGGGTAGACGTCGGGACCAGATTAAGCGCATGGGGTGTCCTAACAAGGGGGGAAAAAAAAATAATAACAGTGAGGAGAAAAGAAAAGCAATAAAGAAACCACTCCCACTTAGCCTGCGTTATGTAGTTTTTGCCAGCAGAAAGGCAAATAATGGGAAAGGAATGGGGGAGAATAGACAAAGTCCCACCCCAAAAAACGTTCAACATCAGTTTTAAGTGGTTAGTTTCTGAACGATATGGTATATTAACCCATATCTTTATGCCCTCCTCGCATCACAACCCATGCCTTCCACCACTTCCATACGATACCACCGGCTTAGACGTCACTAGTAATATTAATTCAACCTTCAGAATATATATATATATATATATATATGCATATATATAGAAAGAAAAAAGACAAATAAACCCTGTAAGCCCTAGCTCATCCGCGCTTACCGGTCGCCTTTGTTTTTCCCTTTCCGTGTTCGTATTAATCGCGGTTTCGCTTTCGTTGGGGCTTATCGCCGACGTCTCCACGGCGATGACGGTCGCCGGGGGACGGGGCCGAATCCTCACGCGGCGCCGTTCCCTCACCCCGGCGCGGATTCCCCTCCTCAGAAAACTCCGCTTCTTCCTCTTCCGCTTCTTCTTTTTCTTCTTTTTCTTCTTCATCGTCGTCGTCGAAGACGGATTCGTAGTACCCTGTGAGATGCGCCGTGGGAAAGACCGCGGGGGCGGCGTCCGGCGAGGCCGCGGCGAGCCGCCGGGCCTCGGGGTCGGGGACCCACGTCAGGCTGACCGGCTCGCTGAAAATGAGCTCGAGCGGGCAAAAGAAGACGTCCTGGGCGGGGGCCAGCGTACAGACGGCCAGGCGAGAGGGAAGGCCGCGGCCC